GCCAACATCCGTGAATGTGCAGAGGGGGCGTGGTCTGCCAAGGGAGCCAAATGTTGCCGCTGTAATGCACAATGCAGTCATAATACTGTATACCTAAGCACGAGGGCCATGGAGAAACTGTTCACACAGAAAAGCTACTCAGTGAAGAGGTCATATATAATGATCAAAATTTCTGAATAGATCTATATCCCTCACAGTCAAAGAAAGCTTGAAATACTTTTTATGTGAATTACATGTCAAGTAACACTTGACAAAGGAAGGGAAATGGAACACTAAAAAATAAGTTTATTCATTTGACCAATTTATTTTTCTGTTTAAAATAGTAACATAGACCACGTGGTTTAATAAAGTGAAATCAGTGTTGGTAAAATGTTGACCTTGCTAATTGCAAGTTCACCGGCTCATTAGAACTATATTATTTTAATGTAATTAGGGCTAAAACTGCCAATAATAACAAACTTCTATCAGAGAGGGTGGAGTTGACAGTTACGCGCTGCTGTTGGCACTACGTGGCACAGCCAATAGGCACAGCATAGCTTTCCACAAAGCTTTTTTACTTATTTTGTCAATGAAACGCACAGTGGCACGTAGCATGTTTAATGACAATCTTAATTTTAGAGACAGGTTTTACTATTTAAAATCCCAGAAAAAGAATACAGTTCCCTGCACATAAAACGCCTCTGTCGGCGCAGGAGATTGTTGGCTGTAGGGGCCAGAATCATAAACTGCGGATATATTCCAGTTGTTTTTAAATGAGACTAAGACTTGACATAACAAAAGCTTTGGGCTACTTCCTTTTTACAAGTGAAAAGAGGTGACGCTGTGAGCAGATTGACCCGCAGACCAGCAGCCCCCAGCACCGTGGGAACTGGGCGTCTGCGAGACTGTGAGAAAGGTAGTAATACTGGTAATAGAGAGATGAAGATATATCGTAACAAATGAGTGTGTGAACGTGACAATGAGAGGTAGTGTTAACAAGAGATAGGGGAGGCCACAGTCGTTTCTATAAACCATCTCCGGGCCGTTTGCTCCGTTTGGTCGCCTGTCTGTTCGTCGTCGTCTCATCTGTGTAACACTTCATAAACCACTCTCTTCTTTTTTGGTTGGCGGTTTTCACACTGTCCTTATTTTCTCACACTTAACTGTACATTTGGCGCACGTCTGTGGCTGCATCTGCCTGCACTGTGCGTCTCTGCATGAAGGTCACAACCTGTTTAAATAACCAGCGATAATGAGATGGATAATCATATAATCCGAATATTAGATTACAGCAAATTCCATTAAGTTGTCTTAAAATAAATAAACAATGTAGATATAACACACAATGATCCTCTCCATAAAATGATGCTACACATAGTTCATTTAATTAATTTAGATGAGAAGTTACACCTCAAGATGAAATGCCCCGTGAAATGAATTACATGGATGTAACACGTGCACGTGAATTTCCCCGTTATAATGCGTGAGGATTGCATCTTTACCAGACTAATTCCTGGTTATGTTTCTATGTGTAATTTCTGACTTTGGTTTGCTAAGTCACGCACAGCTGTGCATGCCTTTAAACCACAGGTTAGACTCATTCACAAAAATCTGGAACTTTGATGTAAACGAAGCACCCGCAGATGTGCGCTTTGATCGTCTGTTCCATCAGAAACACAATAACGGCACATTTTCTGTGCAGTTGAGTCAACTAGCTATATATGTGTCTCTTTTCTTGTGTACATAATGAATGGTGCAGAACATCTTCTGGAAAATCAGGAACATCTGTCCGCTATCAGCGCTTTTGGCTGCGCTGTGTCTGGACACTTGGAAAACATTTGCAGAGACCACAGCATGAGCCAAAAGTTGCTCTGATTGGACGAGTTTCTCCTCTAAACTCTCTGTGGCATTTGCTCTGGTCTCTCTGCCCCCACCACACAGCTCCGCGCTACTGCCGGTGAAGTGAATATGTGGGAAAAAGACAAATCCAGACAAGCGCGCTGCAATGTTTATGCATAAAAGCGCATAAAGAGGAATAATACCTCCCTCCCTCTGTTAACATATTATCCGCAAAACCACTAGGATTGTACTGTCTAAACTGAAAAAATAAATCATGAAATTATCACACAATGCACAGCTAGGCGTGTTTATAACGTGAGGTGCGACAATTGAAGGTATTCTTTTATTTACGCGTGCTACACAATTCTCTTGCAGGCTGTTTATGTGCAAGACATGTTTATTTCTGGTGACTGTACTAGCAGTACAGTGTTGTGGAGCTGCCTTGTAAACGAAGTAGGACAACTCGATACACAAAGCCTGTTTTGGCGCCGACTGTTAGGGCAACTTGGGCCAATGCGCACGAGAGGTGCCAGTGTCCCAAAAACGCTTACACTGAGAAATATCAATCGGAATGCGTCTCGAGTTATTAATATTAGCTAGTTATAACTTTTTGCATTGAGGATAGAAGCATGAGTATGAGAGGGGAGAGAGAGAGAGAAAGAGAGAGCTGTGACGTGCGTTTCGAGGGAGGGGCATGTGAGTCCAATTCATTCCGGGGACCACGTGTTCATAGAGCGTGGGAAAGAGGCGAGCTTTTCTTCCCAGCAAAGAAAGAGCAAGGATCAAATAACACGGTGCTGCTGCAGAAATCTCTTGCTTTGCGCAGAGGCTTCTGCGACCACCCGGACAAGGACAGGACACAGAGGGGCTTATTCTGGACCCGGAGCTGCTGTCTCCTCACTCGAACAGCAATAAAATATAGCAGACTTTATACGATGTGGTTTAAAAGTAATTAGAGCAGAAGTCGAGTAGTTTCCAGGACGCAGAATGGTGCCCAACGAGACCTGCTTGAGTCGTATTTTGGGTTGTAAGCTCATGTCGACTACTCCCCGGTGGTGGACGTTTATTTGAATATCCTGACTTTTATTTTATTTAGAAAATCATTAACTGTAGATCATAATTTACTTTATCAAAATTCAGACGAATCCTATAGGTAGTAACCGTTTTACAGTAAACTGGAAAGAACATCATTGCAATACCGTTTTATTTTCCTTTTCCCCCCTTATTTCTGTAGCCCATATACGCAAGAAATAGTCTACCTTATATAGTGTTTTTGTTTCTCCATGTTTGTAAGGTGAAGTGATGTGCAGTTTGGTACAGAAAGCCAGAGTCAAAAAAGTAATCCTACTAATACCTATTTAAACAAATGCTTATAAGCAAACATTTAAATGGAGGAAAGAGGTCTATGTGATGTGATATAATGAGACTGGGGCAACAGGCAACACTTTTTCCTCCACTGGCCCCATTAAGTCCTGCATACTTGAGGTCCTATGTCATTGTCTGCCTCCATCATATACTGTGCAATACTGACATTTGTGAAGTTTTTTCAAAAGAACCCCATACACACCACTCTTCCACTGTGAAAAATGTTCCCATGTCTGTACTTGCTATAAGGATATTACAACATATGGAAACAAGAGCCAGCAGTGAAAGAATAGACTTGTATAGACATATCATATCGCTGCTTGATGCGCTTCCTGAGAATGTTTAAGTCACGTCTGGACAGTAATCCTCATAATCTTATGCTGTCCAGAGCAGCCCCCCACTCTCCAGTTTTCAAGATTTCCCACAAAAGTTTATATGATGAAATCTGACTCTTCTAACATGCCAAATTGCATTTGTAAAATTGGCTCTTCTGAAATACAATACTCAAATTGTCCAATCCTAAAACTGTGATGAGAGCAATTTAACATTCCTGACTGTAACAGCAGCCTTTTATTTTATTTAACCTTTATATATAGGTAGGTCAACTGAGAACCAGTTCTCATTTACAACCACAACCTGGCCTTCAGGTTAGTTCACTTGAAATTCCAATACTAAGGCATATTCTATTCTTTTTTATGATTATTTATTTATTTATTCATTTACTTTTTGGTGGCTACATAATTGAGTGCCTATATTTTACTGTTTAACATGTCAATGTTGCCATACAAATAAAGTGCCTCCTAACCAACCTTGTAACCAACCCTACAGCATAATATGGTATTTGTCAGATTTGTTAAACTGTTGCAGTAATTGACTTTTGCACAATATTTTATTTTATTATTATTTTTTAAAATAGCCTACAAAATACATAGCACCCTGTCAACTTGAGGTTACTACCACATAAAAGTAGTTTATTTAAGTATGACTGGCACTTTGTAACTAATGCACACTGACATCAAATAAATTACTGCTCCTTTTAGTATCTGAACTATCTGTACACAGTGGTTCAACGAGTACTGCAAATTAGTATTCAAGGAGACAGACAGTTAAATGGCTAAAAATATGCTCAATTAAGTACCGCTTCCAAAAATGTATTTAGTGTGTGTACTTCATAAAAAGTACAATGATAAATACTATTAGATAAATATGATTTTTAGCAGCATTTTAGATCAGTATTCTACATAAAGTAAACAATTTAAATCACTAATCATTTTAAACCACAATCTTCATTTCCCTGAGTTCCTTCCAAACAGAGGAGGTGATGCAGGACTGTTGTGTGTTGGGCAATTTAGAAAGGAGGTGATACAGCAGTTGCGGTGGATTGAGACAATTGGGACTTGTGCTGTACTTAGCACTCATATTATTTTAAATATAAAAAATGATCACAATTACATAGCTAATAATTTGAAAGGCTCAATTTGAGTAAAGTGAGTATTTGTAATTTTCCACCCTGTCTTTACATACTTGCATAATGACTATTACATCATGACTATTAATGAAATGTTACTAACAATTTACTTCACATGACAGGTCAAATAATTTTCTCTAGAAATATTTAGGTGTAGCATCACTGAAACATTTTGACCTTTAAATATCCAGCTTGAATTAAAAAAGACATGTGAAAGCCCTTGTCTGACATTACACCTTTTGTTATACAGAATATATTGTATTGCTCAATAAAGCACAAACAATCAAATTTGGACAAAAAAACAACAACTTTATTTTACTGTGATTAAGCAAACATATCAAAGTAAAGACATATCAGAACAGTTTCAACTCTGAGGATATTAAAAACTTGTGCAATAACACAGAAATATAAAGGAGTGTAAACTATAACATGCAAAAGCACAATGAATAATTTATTAAAATAAAACATGAAGAATCTTTTTCTGATAATCTCTCTCCATCATGTGAGTTTCTGTGAAAGTGTATTTTATAGTATTTTTTAAAAATCATAAAGAATTAGAACTAGTATAAAACTCAATATAATTTTAAAGACATTTTATTGAGGTGCTGTGACCACTGCATTTTCAGTGTCCTGTTCTGTTATGTGTAAGACGTCCTGAAACATGGACAAGACACGCTCAAAGTGTGATCCATCCCAGAACACCTTTCCACATCTGGTGCACACATAGAAGATGGGGATCTTGGGCAGGAGACCATGGGGCACAGTGTGGAGCTGGATAGGTGCCCCACCAGGAAAGGTCAGGCTGTCTGGGTTCAGGCCTGACAGGGAGGCCCAGCGACACTGGTGGGTATACCTGGGAAGGGCAGGGGTCGCAATAGAGGTCGATGCCTCTTCCTCCATCTGGGGCAACACTTGATCACTGAGATCTATGTCCTGGTCCTGGAGGAAGCCTATGGACAGAAGAATCATAAAAACAGCTCAGTATCCATGGAGAAGAATTATATAAAGCAAGTGTTTGTGTTGTGACAGACCTCTCTCTTTGAGCATATTTATCATATCTGCTCTAGGCACTGCTACATACTCGTCACTGTTGCAAGCCTGGAAAACAGAAATGTATTTAGTTACAAAACAATGAAAACCATTAAAATGAATGGTGTAAAGTGATACAGTATTCTGAACACTCAGAATACTCTCACCTAAAGATGAATATTACAGTGAAAAATACTTACAGCTTTATGTTTGGTGGACCATTTGTTCTACTTTCACTTCTCTTGTCACTAATATGGAGCAGTTTGAACACAAAATTGTAATCAAGTGATCAAGTACTGCAATGTATTTGTTTGATGTTAGGGAATAACTGTATTCTAAATACGGCCAAATGAAAATGACTGGAAAAATGTCAGTGAAAAAGTGTACACTAAATACATGTATTCAGCACATGTATTTAGTTACTTCCAAACACTGCTTATTTTTCAGATTAAAAATTGACATATTATTTAACCCTAAAGTAAGTAAATAAAACCCCTAAACTCTCCAGCACTGGAATAGGGCTCCAGTATTACTTACTATGCATCTCTTCCCACTCCAATGACAAACATACATTTCCCAGGTTTTTGCTGTGCTGTGAAAGGGCTTAAGTGTTGCAGAACGACACAGATGAGTGTGTGTGTGGAGACAGCGTTCACACCTCAGTGGCGTTCACATGTCCGTGCGGGTCCATGGTAAAGGTCTGGCTGAGATGACATTAGTGGGCCCTTGTTTGCCGGCCCCTGATGTGCACATAGCCCTGTCTGTATCCTGCAGCGTGTTGGCGCTAAAAGCCTTGTCAATACACCTGAGACCCACCCAGCAAACAGAGCTCCACTTAAGGCTGGCTCGTAAATCAAATGGCACATTACAGCCCTTATCTCAAAAATCTGTCAGTTGTCCAGGAAAGATTATTGTGGGTCATTTCATGCTTTACCGGTACAAATACTTTACTCAAGAATTCAGTAATAAGGCCTTCATCTTAAAATAAATCTATTAAGTAATAATTTTAACTATTTAAGTACAAATTAACGCCAACAAATTAGTAAATAATTGAATTCAAAACATTCCTACAAAGTGAAATATCGGGAGGAACTTTTTTTAATGCATTTAGGTTCTTAAATACAGTATATCAAAAATGCATTGTATTGGATTTCTTCCTCTTTGGAACACTTTTTCAACTGTAGTTTTGTATAATATTTTACATAAACTTCAACGGAACCATATTTAGTGAGAAGTAAGTGGGTAGTAGCTTTATACTTCTCTCTTGAATTAACACTTGACTGATTTCACTTCTGTATTACTCAGTCCACCTAAGTAGGGCTGTAATCAACTGAAGAAATTCTCAGGGGAAAAAAGCTCTCAAAACAGAATACATATCTCCATCTATCTGACCCAAACTGCACTCACAAGGCTCCAACTTCAACTGCATTACTAACAATTAATGCAGAAAAAAGTACTAAGAAACAATGCATTTTTGTATGACAGATTAAACTCACTCAATCATTTGTTTCATTTTTATGTATAAATGCCAAAAAATAGCAAATCTTCAGCTAACTTACTCACTAACCTTTCTGCTGTTATCCATATAAATCCATATAATCTAAATAAACTATTAGTCAACACCATTAACTGATTAATCGACTAAATGACTAACGTCAGTAAATCTGCGAAGTATGGCTGGTCCCTATGTGTTTGCATGTGGCTTGTGAGGTCAAGATGGGAGAGCATGGCTAGACAGAAGAGGTGTGGGAATAGCAGAGGTGTCATCTCCTGTCTTGTCTGGGAATGGAGCCCGTCTCTCTGCCTGAAAAAGCTCTTTGTCGTCTTTCCTCATGAGCAGTACCTCAGGCGAGCTAGCATGACAGAAGACGCACCCAGAGAGATGACCAGGCAGACAAAACAGCTCACACGTCTCAACTAGACTACTGTATGCCTTCCGCACTGTGAATACAAATGCTCCCGGTGCGTACACATGGATCTCACACATAGGAGCAGCCAGGAAAACAGACCCAGCTATTTGCTCAGCTCAAACTTTTCCCAGAGCCGAGCAAGCCAGAACCTGCTCTGAACTCCCAAGGCTTAGCGCCGCAGAGGCAAGCACACACGCACACCGTCTCCAATGCACGCAATCTGGATGGAAACAATTTAGTGTCTTGATTAATCAAAACACATTCAGTTACAAGTGTACAGAAGTGAGAGGCTTGGCTGTTCAAATAATGCAAGTACATATGTTCATTGTAAGGTACTCGACTGCTGATCCACTGTGGTCTAAAAAGGGCTCAGATGCCAGGCAATATAAGTGGCTCCTTTACACACAGGTGGATTATCAGCACATCTACTCACAAGAAAAGCATCAAACTGACAGTGAAGTCAAACAAACTCAGATATGGTGAGTGCACAATTATTTAAGAGCAGAGTGGCACAAGGCAGCTACAGGGCAGGAACTTCACAAATCTCTTTCCTCAAAATGACCTGTGCTCCGTTCTGGTATGTTTCTGTTAAACACATGTCCTTTTCCAATGTTCTTGTAAAAATAAGCAGACAATTTCTCTACAGACCCCTTTGGCTCAGGGTATGCCCCTTACATATCTAAATTAAGTTAAAGTTTTACCAAGATCAAATCATTCACATAAATATATTCTATTGGGTTTTAACTAAACATGGCTTTGTGTATTTGTTACATCTGCATTCTCTCACTCTTTCTGCCCATTGTCCTTTGTGCTTTTCAGGGAACCTCTCGCATTCTCACACTCCGTGTGGCCGTGCCACAGAAAGAATTCTCCTTGCCGTAACAACAAAGGCTATCTAAAGTGTGATACTGTGTTTCAAAGGATGGGAGGTGGTGGAAAGAGGAGAGAAAGGGGATAGTTGAGAGGAGCAAGGAAAAAGAGGGAGGGGACGTAGAGAGGATGGGGGGTAACATGCTCAAACACTCACACACATAGACGCACACAGTGCAGCGCTCTGTAGGCAGCTCCCATGGGAAAATCCTGGTCCAGTCTAAAAAAGGCGGGGCTTTTCGGACGGCACTGAGTCACATGGTCAAACCAGCCAATTGGGCACTAGTGATGTGGTTCAAATTGTGGTAAGTCAGGTAAAGGGCAGCGTGGGAACTATGGGATGTGTGCAACAGAGGAGAAAGAAAGCCCCATGTTTTCCCTCCAAAAGTGTCTTTTTGTTGCTAATCTGAAGTCTGAGCTTATTTGTGTAACCGTCTGACTGACTGTGGTCTAAGACATATATACAGCTTATAAGAATATAGGAGCATTTTCCAAGAAAAGAAAGCATACATCCTACAAACCCTTTGTCTGGTACCACCATCCCATGACGGCAACCTTGTCTCTACTTCCCTATGATTGTGTTTGAGCAGATGTCAAATTCTGCCTGCAAAAAGCGTTTGAAACTATGGCACACCGCACTGGAAAATACTGCTTCATGAGACTGTCACAGTGATCTGTGCTGAGATGATGTGGAGCTCCAAAACAGTGGAGTTTTTCTCTGTTTTCCCACAGAGGCCCAAGGTCAGTCTGGGTGATGCAGGCTTTTCCCAACACTGATCTGAATCTCACACTGCACATTCTCACAGATGGAAACAACCTGTGGACCACGCACCTGATTTATTTTCTTTGTACAGCTAGAGGTTGAGAAAGTAGAGTAGAAACAGTTTACATAATTCAGCCAGCTTTCACCAGAAAAACATGCACAAACTTAGATACTAGAAGTTTAGTAAATCAAATTATGTTAGATTAATATTGGTTAGAGTTAAATATATTCAATATGAAGCTTACAAGATACACAATTAATCAATATTCTTATCAGTAATAATAATCATCATCATCACTACCATTTATTCTCATTCGCACTGTTACAACACATGTGTAAACTTAGAGATTACTGCATGTCATCTTTGCGTTCTCTCTGCCTTTCTACTTCTGTAAAAGTTACAATTGTAAATGTAACACTCCAGATATGAACAGAGCTTAAATGGGAGACTCAACATCAAAGCAACCATATATATTCACAGCTGCTCATCAACTTGGAATAATCATGTTTTCTGTCACATTTCTCATGTGTTGATTCAAACTGCAAAAATGTTGGATATGTTTGAAAAGACATCAAAACCTTGTACTGATTTATTAAGGCATTGATTTATCACATTTTATTACAATTAAAAATATACAATCAAAGTTAATCTAACTTTGAATTTGGTATGTAACTGTTTTTTGTTTGTTTTGACTTCAGTCTAGCAGAGAAAGCCTTACATGCACCAGTGTAACCGCCTGTACTTTCCCACCACGTCCTGAGGGTATCTGGCCACTGTCACCTGCAGAGGAGCCAGAGGTGATTACCGGGTCTGTTAACTAACCACTACCACCTGACAGCAGGCTGAACTTGGACCGCAGCAGAGCCTGTCGGGGCTTGACACCGCTCACACCTTCCCTCTGACTCACACGCGCACACAGCACACACACACACACACACACAGACATCACAGCAAAAGATGTATGCAGTCAACTTAAGCGCACACACGCCCTCCCTGAGTCACCTTGCACCCACTCATTTCACCTGCAAGGAACACAAATCACACGGGACATGCTCTATTATATGCTTCCTCGTTTTCCCAGGCCTGTCAGAGCAAACCTATACTTGAGTTTTAAGAGACACAAGTTGAATGTGAAAACCTGTTGTTACCAGTCGCCACTATAGCTGTCTATGTACAGTATTTTAACTTGTTGTGTTGATATTTTCATTACCTTTAATTATCTTCTTTCTTTCCATGTATTGGAGCAAAATTTGACTTGCCCCAGAACAGATATATTGTATAAGCAGCTCCTGAAGTCATAGCATAATATCTCTACCTAATTATAAAAAATTTTTTAATGTCCGATAATCATGAAATGCACTGTTAGCATGCCAGCTGTTGTAAGCATTTCTGCTCTGGCCTCTGAAAGTTGTGAACAGTGCTAAAAACTCATCATCAAATCATAGTGGAAAGGATTAGGATCCTCAGAATAAATAAGATAAGTAAGGAATAACTTTGGACCACAAACCGTTTCAAATTAACTACT